TTTGACGCTTCCAAGGGAATATATATCAAAATCTGTTCAAATGAAGCGATCGATAGTTGAGATGGTTGTCAGATACCATGCCATTTGATGGATGGGTGCACATGGGGGAAGGTCATGAAGCTAGTTCTGGCTGGATCTTCCAATGTATCTATGAATCCATCACACAAACACCTGCCATGCAGGATGAAGATTGGTTGCAACAGGGTGCAACCTCTCCATTGAGGGTCAGTGGCTTAGCATCACCAGCCCTCCCTCCCTCAGCTCCTGCGGTGCCATGAGAACAGCCAAGTTGTTATAGGCAAAGGCATAGCTGGGATCCTACAGCTGGAATCGTCACCAAAAATCAGGCCCATTCAGCCCCTTCCCCACCGCACCCCAGGTCCAGCTCAATGGCTTTCACGTAGAGGCTTCGCTTGTCCCAAAGTTGGCCATCTTTCGTCCGCAGAACCTCTCCAGGCAGCATCTGAAAGGGTTTTCCAGTTTTCCATCAGCATACTTCCTTGGGTCAAGGTTGACACCGTTGACACCTCTTCTCCAGACCTACATGGTGGCCCTCACATTCCCTTCGGTTTCCCTTGGGTTTCCTTTGGCATCGACCCAGCAACCCATGCAACCCAGAGTGGCGCATCCCGGGCCTCATGATCCCCCAAGACAACGCCCAGATTGCAGTGCGCCACCGCGTTCTTGGGGTCCAACTCAACCTGGGACGGGGAAAAACATGGAAAACCATGAAAAACATGAAGGAAGTGTCACCCAAAGTGCTGAAGTGATTGGTTACAAACTCTCAAGTCACAAGCCAATGCCCTATAGACAGTATGATAAGTATATACAGATATATACAGTATAATCATGTTTTGCAATCACCTGCTCTTCTACTAGCAGTTACTAGCATCACTAGCGCAATCCAAGGCAGGTCGGAAAGGGCTGCCCTGGTTCCGCTGAGCTTCAGACGGCTCGCTGGAAGAGCGCTCGTTGATTGACCCCGTTGCCTTGCAATGTGACCACCTGCGAGGAGTTGAGCTGTGGCTGTTAACGGTAAGATATGGTAAGATAATGGGGATGGATACCCGAAGGAAATGTCATGCCTTTGAGCCTTCAGAGGATTGCTCAACCTTTTGCAACCTTTTGACTTTGGGACTAGACCGTGAAGAAAACAAAACTTCGGACAAAGCCATCTAAAGCGAGCGCCGCACCTCCCCTGGGCCTAGTGAAACAGCCAAGTTGTTGTGGGCATGGCCTGGGAATCGCACAACACTGACAAGTGATGGTACAGTGGTCTTTGGGTATTGAAGAGGGCGTTCAACATGCCATGTTCCGAAATGATTGTGTTTGTATGCCTCACTTTGTGAAGGACATGAATTTGATCTGGCCCTGAGGATCGTTAAAGAGTCTATCCTCTAAGAGTCTAACAGTAGCAATATTAGAACGTTAGAGGCAAGAAGCCACCCAGTGTGACGAATGCAACCCATCGAGCCATTTCGCAGCCAGCGGGGAAAGATTAAGCAGCATGTCTGTACATGTGCCAAAGCTTGGACAGCTGCAGTTGAAGAGTTTGGGTCCTCTCCTATGCCATTTCATCCATTTCTTCAGAGTCACTTCTTCATCCCAGCACACCCGGCCAACATTCTTCGATTGGCAAACACTGAGCCCCCCAACTGTGAGTGGCATCCAGTTCGAGGGCCTTCAAATGCAATGCCTTTTTCGGCAACAATAGCCTTGGAGTGATCCCAGCTGGACAGTTGGAACAGATTTGACCGAGAAATCGGGAAAGCAACAGAGAGTGAGTTTCCCTTTCCGTAGGGCCAAGGAACCCATCGGGCAACTGTAAGCTTTCGCCTCCGGAGGTGAAACGCGGTTGATCACCGCTCTTGTTTGACGGATTCTTCCGTGGGGCTCAGAACACTCTTTTGCAGTCTATAGTTTCAAATCCAGACCTGCCGCTATGTGATTTGTGCAAAAGAGATGAATGCTTAAAAAACCTGAACCATGTCAGTTCTGTGCTGTGCTATGTGCTCCCACCTATGTCACCATGAGAGAAAGTGTGAGGCCTTTGAGAGGAGCCATTCATTCTGAGACATCTTTGGTGATCATAAGACATTCTCTTTCCAACCAGAAAGGTTGTATTTTACTAGACATGCATTTCCAGGCACTCCAAGCCCCAGCTTCCAGCCTGGTCGCAAGGTAGAGCCCAGGTTGTCAAATGCCTCCGGCGAAGGAGCTTGGGATGCTCAGCAAGAGGATTGATGAAGCTCTACATGTCTGCCTTCTAAAGCTGCACGTAATTATGTAATTACACATTGTCAATTTCAGTGTAGCTTCACATCAGTGTTCAACGCCAGGGATACGCCAAAATATGCCAAACATCGACACCGCAGCAGTGAACCCGAGTGAACCCTTTCCGCCATCGTTTCCTGGGCGTTCTTCGGATCCACCTCCAAGATATCCAAGAAAGCTCCGCGATCGTCCTGCGCATCCCGTGCCATTCCCTGTAACATGTGCCACACCTGGATTTGTCCCAAAACAATCAATAAATATGGGTATATATATACAATTATATAAGTTATAAATATATATATATATATAATATATCAATATATTAATGTGTAAATAATATAATATATCATCATAATATATATATAATATTCTATATATACGGATTTCCCAGAGTCATCCACCTTCAGATCATGTTTTGATGTTTCGTTGTGGGGGAAACCATTCGGGCTATCAGTCGCCCAGCTCCTGGCTACCGATCTCTCGTGCCACGTCTCGCAGCTCAGCTTGCATGAAGAAGGCACCACAGCTGTCAAGATCCACAGGCGCGACCGGCAAATACAGATTTCCAAAAATTTGACAGGTGAAATCCAGTTGGCCTGTTGGTTTGTTATATCATGTTGTATTATGTTTATATGATGTTATATATATATGTGTATCTCAACGTCGTAGATTGATATTCCATTCTGGGAAGGCACTGCCGCTCTTCATTGGCTGGCCAAACAGGATTGAGATGAAAAATGTCTTTCCAGCACGTGTCAAAATCGTTCCCCGTGTGCCCTGTGTCGCCACTGGCTTGCATGATCACGTGTTCGAGATTCTCTGAGTGTGTGAAGATTTAGCATTCGCCTCACATGCCGATTTTGGCTGCGGACACCATTGAGTCTAGCATGTGGTGGACATGTGGTGGACATGTGGTGGCTGGGAGCCCAACTGGCAAGATGATTCTACTTTCGGTTGGACAGGAAGTGTGTTGATCAATGATCTGCCTGCTCTGCCTGTTCGATTTTCCTACTGCCGCTCGACTAGAGGGGTCCCAACCAGTTCTGTGATCATAGAACATCAACCCACAACATGATTTGATATGTGTGGCTCCGAAATCAGCACATCGCCCACAATTTTCGGCTGGTGAGTACAGGCTCAGCGGACCTTCGCCTTGAGGCATCAGTTTCACAAGGGACTTGGTGGATGAATCTTCAATGAATTCATTTCTGTCGACTTCTATGCTCCAATTTCGAAGTGTAGCAGACTCGCAAGTCTTGAAGTTCCTGTATCCAACGCAAATGAGTTGCATAGTGGCATAGTGGCAGGAGACAACAGAAGTATGGACAGCCAGTATAAAATTCTCCTATGAGTCCAGCAACAAATGTGCCATCCGCAACTTCCAAGCTGGCTTTACCATTTTCTTGTCTCAGCATTTTATGGTTGTTGCATGTTGTTGCTACTGCTGCTGCAAAGATGTATCAAAGATGTCATTTTATGGTGTTGATGCATTTTGATGCATTTTCTATCTGATTTTATCTGGCTATGTTGGATATCTATGGATATCTTGACACCGATAGAAAGTTTCTGGTGCCGTGGCACCAATCCCAGCAGCGCATCCAGATCTTCTCCGTCATCCGAAACATCACTTTCCTCGCAGGACAGCTCTCCCGTCCACTCGGGGAATGAAGTTCAATACTTAGAAACTGCTGATCTTCCAGTTCTTCATTCCGAAGGATGTTGAAAACAATTGAAAACAATTATGGTCAGTGTTGGTTCCTACGTCATGAAGTGATTGGGAATCAGGCCATGGCCCTATGACCTTGTGTGACAACATGTGACAACAATTGTAGCACGGTCCGACGGTGTCCGACGGTCCTCGGCTGACGTTCCACCAGCCTCCTGGCAGGGTAACAGGTCTTTGGACTGAGACAATTTACGATTGAAAAGCTGTGGAAAGAGTGAGAATATGTGAGAATCCTCGCTGGTAAAGTTGTCAAATGTTCTCAAGTTGGAAAGATCCTGTTTTCCCAACAGAGACACCCTGCCCGCTCCTCCCAGTCGGCGTTGCGGTGAGCCGTCAGATCCATGGTCCGATTCCTCATGCTCTTCCGGCCACGACGCCGTGGGGCACCTCGATGCTTTGAGGTCACAAAAAAAGGATTTGAGTGCACAACACTGGCGTTTCTTTAGGACAATCAGACACATATTGCAAGTCGAAAACTAGTGAGACCTGTGAGCTGATCAATCCATATCAATCCCTCATTAACAAATAAAACTGTGCCATTTTCGTTACATGAGCATTCTATACTAGGAATGGACTCGTCTCTGAGTTGCCAACTTTCACCAGGGGCAGATTGCTTAGCACGTAGCTCCTGTGTAGGGGCCGGAACAAAGAAGTAAACACCCGCATTGCATCAGAGGTTAAAGAAATGCCCAGGCTATATAAATGTCCGCCAGGGTCAGAATATGTCAGAATCATTGAAAATCATAAAAGGTAACATGATATACAACCAAAGAAAGCTACTATTACATTCCGAGTTGGCTTGCAGCTCTGCAGCCCCAGTATGTAGCATCCTGGTTTTCTCTCTCACTTTCTTCAAACCTTACATGCAAGGCAGAAGGTCAGTGCACAGGTTGTTCCAACTCATCAGCCAAATGAAGAGGACAGTCATTGACAGATATTGACAGCGCCTGATGCCTGCTACACACTGCGACTACCCCATTCCATCACAAAATGCAAATATATGCGAATATCGCATGAGCTGGGTTTGTAGCTTACATCATGGTCAGTCAAGAGTGAATGAGATGGTTTGAATAAAAGCTGCCCGCTGCTGCTCCTTGCCCTGGCTTGTATGACTTGCAGCAGCTTCTGATATTTCCTCTACTCTCATCTTGTTCTACTTGGCACCACAAGTATCAAGTGTGAGACGACTTCTTGTTGCTACACAATACCCCTGAGAACACACAGGAATCACTGGAAAGTCCGGGTCATTAAGCGCAGCAATGTGGCTGTTTCTGAAGCCTGCGCAGCTCTTCCTTCAGTTCATCTGCATCAGAGGAAGATGCCTTCCCCTGAGCACTCTGCCTCTCCATTTCCTGCCATCGAGCTACGTCAGCAGGTTGTCTTTGAAACCTTCCTGCTATGCGACGGAACATGGGATTCAACATTCAAACTCCAAATCGGTCATGTCCAGTGATACACAGTGTCCCAAATTAGGCATGCTCGTCAGTCACGGCAGCATCTTGCAGCTGAAGCGGGGCTTGAGATGGCGGTTTCAAGAATTTTGTTTGCGGCTTGAGATAGCATCATATAGCATCTTTTCTGATTTGGAGCGCTTCCGGCCTCTCTGAGTCTGTTGAGCTCGGAGCGCAGTTGCGTCGCCGTTTTGCGACTGGCTTCTCGCCGCGACACGCCATTGCCGCCATTGTCGCCATTGGCAGACGGCATGGAAGGCATCCCAGGCATCGCCGGAGACATCGCTGGAGAGGAGGCAGCCGGTGGAGGTGCAGACGCCGGTGTGGATGCTGGAGCGGATTCAGGCGCAGGGGCCTCAGTGAAAGTTGGGACATCACCAGGATCAACATCTGCACATCTTTCAGAATAGAATAACATGAATAACATGAATAACATACAATTTAAAAGAAATGCACAGAATCTACGTCAGGACTTCCAGCACACAAGTTGGCTCAGGGCCGGTGGCTTCCACCAAAGGCATCGCATGCTGTCTTTGCCGAAGGCTTTGCTGTCAAATACGATTCTTTCAGGAACCAGTTCCGAGATGCACCAACAATACCAACAACCAACGGATGTTCGCAAATCGAGGACCCGCAAACTGATCTTCAATTCAATCATACGGCCAGACATACGCAAAAACACTCATATGCAACCAATAGAAGCCCAGATACAACTTATACAAGCCATGTTTGTTGACTCTGTATGATTCTTTCCTCTAGGTCGAGGTGATACCTCTATATAAACTAATGCGGTGCTGCGAAGCTTCTGGGCTCATGGAGGGTGCTGGCCGCGCCGATGCGCTGGGCATTGCTGGCATGGCCGCTGGCGCCACAGTGGCAACCTGATGGGCAGAAAGTTGCAATAGATCCCGACGAAATCTGCAAATATCCACCTTCAGTGGTATAACCATGTTGTATTATATGTTAATCATTTTGAATCATTTTGATATGTTCACAGCATCAATATGCTTACAGTTTTGAGTCTTTTGTTTGGGTCTGGCGATGCTGATGGAAAAGCGTCAAGGACCGATCTCAGTGCGGGACCGGATCCGCAGCAGCGGGAGTCGGCATCTGCGTTCCACTGGCACCCTCTGCAGCAGGCCTCAGATGAGGAAACTTCGGTCACGTCAGCACGGTCACCCGGTCACCAGTCTTTGATGTTGAAGAATGTTTGTTGTCTCCTCAGCACATGTTTGTTGTTTTAATTTGATTCGGGTGAAGATCTATAGACCCGTGGCAAGCTTGCAAAGGTGACGTTTAAGTCCTGCTCATGTTCTCTCTTTCGCAACTTGTCTTCGTGATGCTAAAAATGCAGAAGCATCGAATCTATGACGCCATCTGGCCCATGATTGACCAGGGTGCAATGCAAAAAACTGTGAGAAAATCAACCAGTATACTTCGAACTTCGAAATACTTCGGATGGTTGAACCCGGTAGGAGTTTGCCGCCACAGCCCCGTTGAAAATTGCAATGAAAATTGCCAAGTGTCCAGCCGCCAAACTCCTGACAGGAAACGTGGCCATGGGAGGGTTAAATAGCCTTCACCAACATGTGTCACAGCAGCCATCTAAGTATATGGGTCAAATGTTAAGACCTGCTGAATCACAAGTCTGGGTCATTTTCGATACAGCAGCAAATCAGACCATGATACTTAAATCATTCAGAATCCTTTTATCTTATTGGATTGGTATAAAAATAAAACCTAAGGCCAATCTTAAGCAAATCAAAAATAATCAAAACAAAATAAAACAAAGACATATCGAATTAAGGCACCTCATGACGCCCACGACACCATCAGCCGTCCTCGAGCGCTTGCACCGGCGAGTCCGGCCGCAGCGCCGTGGGCGGCAGCGGCGGCATCAGCGGCCCCAGCGTCTTCCGGCGCGCTGCTGGCGAGGCCTGAGACAGGCCGACCCAAAAAACTAGATAGGTATGTCTATCATACTTATTTATGTATATTTAGCACATGAATGTGTGTATATATATATACGTACATATATATTATCATATATTATCATATATCATATTTAAATATCTATTATAGTATAAATATGATTAAATATATATATATATGCACACACACACACAATTGATTCACCAGCATCCAATTCACAGACATCTGTGTAGTTTGATGTACAGTACTTTGGAAGGGGAACCAATTGTTGAAAGATGTTGAAAGTATGTGGTATGCCTCATGGTTGCACAACGCCACTTGGAGTCGATTTCCAAGGCTTGAAGGCATACACATGTGCTCTGAAAGGCTGTCGGCTGAATCTATGTTCAAGAACGACAGAACGACAGCTAGTTGGGACTTTTGGTTTCAAGAGTTGAAAACCTGTCAAAACCCATCTCAAAGCCAAGGCCCAGCATGTTTGGTTTTTTGGTGTCACGCGGAAATATATTCCGGTCATACTCTGAAGGCCCATGCGGTACTTGCTTTCTGACTGTTTACCCGTTGTAGACAGGTTCGCCTTGACCGCATCTGCAGGCGCAGGCTCCGCAGGAGAAGGAGCAGCTTGAGGTCTAGCAATGAGATAGAAGGGAAAAAACGCTGTATGCAAACAATAAACGGTCATTGAACGGCAAAACAGCTTTCAGTCATCTAAATCTAAACAAAAGAATGCTTGTAGCAAAGGAGCAATGTTGCAGAACCTACAAACCAGGAGCAAAGCACCGCAACCCATGAACAACTCAAGAGATGTGACTGCTACATGGCATTGACTGCAAGAGACAGTCAATAATTAATTGCGCAGATGTTCACAGTGAGAAAGTTCTTCTGCTAAAACGATCTGGGCCTGATCTCTGGTGCTGGCTGGGGTTGCATTGGTGCCATGGGTGCAGGTGCCATCAAGCCACCAGGATGGGCCATACCATAACCTCTGGAAAATGCAAAGCCATTGGCCATGTAATTGGGATAGGAAATGATGAATGGATCATATTGATAAAATGGACGTAGGGGTATGGGATACGGGATACCAAGTAAAAAAAGTGGGATGAAGCCTGATGAAGTTATCATCTGCCAGAACAGGTGCTCAAGTGTGAAGCCGCACCGCCTTTGCACGGGCCAGGGTGTGGTCCTTGTGGTCCACCGCCTTTGCACATGCCAGGGTGTTGTGCTTGGGGTCCTGGTTGTCCCGGTGGTCCTGGCGCCAAAGTTGTGAAACGTGCAACGAGGTCTGAGGATACTGAAAGAGGTCCGTTGACCGAGAAAATGATGTTTAATTACATGGCCCAAAAGCAATCAAATGGCAAAGCATTCAGCATCCACTTGCCAGTCCTTTTCCCGTGCCTTTGGGTAAAGCGCCTTTGTGCATTGGAAAGCCCTTCCCGGGCATCCCCTTTGCTGGGAAGCCTTTACCTGGGCGACAAGGAGCCGGCGGGAAAACAATGTCTCGAGAGTCTCTGCGTTGGCGGAAAGTACTTAGAGAATGAAGGGACACAGCCATGCAACTCTGTCAACTCAGTGAACTTTTTAAAATTTGAAATCTTGAGGACAGCCACAAGAACCAAACCTCTCTGTTCATGATGGAGACTACACGGGCTGCAAGTGAGGCACCTTTGAAGTCATCCGGCCCCTGCAAGATGTCCACCCAGTCAGGAAAAAAAGGTTGCCTGTAATATCTGTAATGTCACCCAGCGCCCAACAGGATCCAGGTCTTCAGAGAACCCAAGAGAACCGAAACGAGAACCCAAGTCTGAGGTCATTTCGATTCGTTTCGGCTACCGAACCCTGCATCCTGATGCTGGCCTTTCCCGGGAAGCCCTTGGCACCCTTGGCACCCTTGGAGGTCATGCCTGCCGAGATAGAACATGATAGAACCACAGCAAGAACCACGGCACGCCCACATAACTCACATAACATCATAGGAATAATATAGGAATCATAACAAGCGTGTAACCCTATAGGAATCATAACCCTTGGTTGAATCATTCAAACCGGACTTTAGGGAAAGCAGGTGTGCAACCTGGTCGAAACACCTTGGCGTCCAGTCGCTCGTGTGCATTTCACTGACGTGTGACTAGTGTTTGTCCAAACACTCCATATCGCCGAGCTGTTTCATAATGTCATTATGGATTATTATAGTATAAATATATATATATACATATTGTAGTTATGTATTCTATCATCTGCAAGCGCCCAAGATGGAAACCACCACGTCCAGACCAGGGGCCATCTCAGTCCGCACCTACTGAAGGCACTACATGAATCGCTCCTGTGATAAATCAATTCAAATCAGAAAGAACTCGCCCAACTAGAGGGACATGCTTCATGTATCATTCAAACATGCATGTGTCTACACAAGAAAGGTCTTACTTCGAGGCCATATTATCATGGGTTTTTCCACTGGTGCGCTTGACAAACAAACCTGAGTGGCTGCTGTTGGCTGCTTGCTCGCTTCTGGTTCGAGCTGACGAATCACCGGCAAAGAAACACGCTGATCAGGACGATACGTAGCGATTCACGGAAGGATCAACTTGTTTTCTTGACATTTCGGCATTTTTCTACGCATTTGCAATTTCATGACTCCCCCAAAAAGAAAAACTAGGAGAACCTGCTGAAATGTTGCAAATGCAAACAACAAGTGAACAATCAGAGGGGCTGTCCAACGCTGACCTTAATCTATTCATGATGCTTCAAGGAAGACGAAATCACAGAATGTCGCTGCAAGGCTGCAAAAGCTTGATTTTCTCTGCGGCAGCATCCTGGTTGGCAAAAAACACAAGGTGCCCAATATAGGCTGGCTTGCGCATTTTGAAAATGGACTTTAAACATGGAACCCAAACATGAAAAGACTGAAATCGGTGATCTGCCATAGAAAATAATGGGTCCAGTCGTGAAATCAAGCCACAAGTGAGATTCAGCCAGTGTGACGTACTTCCTTTATGTTGCTGAGATCGCAATGTCCGTAAGCATTGAAGGATCATTTCGGGAGGTAATTTTTCGGATGTGGCAGGCATATGACGTCATGTTTCACATGCGCCGCCTGCAAAATTGCCAATTCCAGATGTCAGCCTTGCATAGCTCTGCTACATCTTTTCCCTGAAGAACTGAACATGTCGAAGGTGTCAGACACAGCAGCTCAGCAACTTGCTTGTAATTGAAATCGGAAGATTTTCCCAATCTTTTGTGGCAAACCAGCCTTCATGGCTGGTGCTACTCGCTATCCAAACTCGATTTGCACGAAAGGGATCTGCCTGTTGAGAAGAATCATGTTGCAAGGATCTCTCTGTCGTGTTTCCTACAAGCACCCCTGTAATAATAAAACGATATAAAACTTCGAGTGATGCTACAAAGTATTAGAAAGTTACCCTTAAAAAGCTGTCAGGTCTCAACACCTTCCTAAAGCCATGCACAACATCATTTCAAAGTCCATATCGAAAATGTATCAATTAGCTTTGTGTTTGTGTCTGTCACCAGGTGGTCAAGTGTCTCGGACTCTCGCGATGACAAGCGGCACCAAACATGTGGATTGCATTTAGTTTTGAGCACCCAAGTCACACTAAGACGTCAGCAGCAGTGGGGGATTTTGCCTCTATGGATATTCAACTATTATTCACACTTCACGAAGCTCTGAGAGCATTCCTTCAACTGGAGCTGTGTGGATAAATGAATGACGCGCATTCACCAACAAAAGGGAGGCTGCTCCAAACCCTACGGAGTTCCTACACGAATAAGTATGAGTCTGCCATCGACCTCTTGCACCAGGTAGAATGACCTAAACCTCCTATTACAGAGTTCCAAGACACTCAGCTGTCAACTTCTCGCTGCAAAACGAGCAATGCGGGAAGTGCGAGCGAGCTCACAACCCAAGATGTGCTTCCTGGGATTGAACTAGTTTTCACGGGTTCAACCGAAAGAGGGGCCACAGAGCACGAAGTATCCAGCGAGAAGGAAAAGTCCACAAAAATCAGGGCGCTGCGAAGGACCCAATCAAAACGAATGATTCATTGAAACATCCGACATGAAGCTGCATCGCTGCATCTGTGACTCCCAGCCTCCTTATAGAGGTGGCATCCTGAAGCTTTGAAAAGTGATCACAGCTACGGTGAGGGCTACAACGACATGAACGATGAAGAGCTGAGAGAGTAAATGACCTGCAATATCCTGCAATGCCATTTTACTTATCACAGTTCACACAATCATACATACACATTGCGGTGTGCAGACGGGACAGTAGAAAACTAGTTTCATTCAATCGGATGCGAATTCCCTATTGCCCAAGAAACGTCAGCTTAAGACTTTTTGATTAGGTCCCACAGTCATTTATCTTCATGTCCAGAACAAAACCAAAATCATCTCAAGAGTCAATATCATTCAAACATCGGTCTTGAACAACTGATTGATGATAAATTTGATGCATGTCCATAGTATATGTTGCAAAGAACGCATGCTGCATGGATTTCTTTTTGACCACCAGTCAAGAGGAGGGGTTGAAATCCTTCAGGCCCATAACCCAGACACTGCGGCATGAGGTTGCGCACTTCATGAAGAATCCGGTGGATCTAAACTGCTTCAATTCAGGGCTGTACCTGGGAGCAACAACTAAACGAACATAATCGAACATATACATTGTCATCCCAGCTTGGCTTCTAGATGAAATAAACTCCCTTGAGCGTGTCATGTTTTTTTTTCCCCGGTCCTTGTCCACAAAAGCCCACCGCACAAACAAAAAGGTGAATTTGGTGCCTTTCTTCTTTGCTTTATGCACTGGCCTCGTGCAGAAGCATCTAGAACATTCTTGAAGTACGCTCACTGTGCAGGCCCGTTTCTTAAGGCGCACGTCAGTGGACCGGTGCCCAGTGGCACTTTGAAAGGTTGTACAGCCTTGAAATCTGGCAAGGACCTGCCACACGATGGAAGCCCCACCCTGTGGAAGAAGTGGGTTTGATGCTGTGGAACATCAAAATCATGAGGGCACCTGTTTTGGAATGCAATTTTTTTGTCCCAAGCCAAATTGTTCGACAAAATGAGTTTGCTGAGCTTTCCATGACACAACATGTAATTGGTCT